CAAGTTAAAGCTAAGAACTAAATTCGCCTTCGTTTCCAATGAATAGGGAAGTTTAAACTGTGATAAATCAGTCTCAAACGGAAGAATAAAGCCGAGTGAATGATGGAGCATCGAGCATTTGGGTCCTTCATAGCGCGACGCAAATCGCCAACCTCAGTTGTGAACAATACCAAATAAAAACTCTCAAACATTACTTTGTTCAAAGCAAATGACATATCTAGTACATGAGAGCTATTCGCAAGCGTTCTGGTTGAAAAGTTTATCCTTCTTTTAAGTGCTTCTTCGACATCCATAATTCCCGACTTGTCACATGTCTTGTAGTTCGCTAGTAGTTTGTCAGTCATCGCATAAAACAGTAAAGCCTATTTTTAGCTTCAAAGTGCAAAAGGATAAAAGAATGAAGTGTTCGGCGTTTCCAATCGCTTAGCGATGCGTTCTTCACTCGACTCCATCAAACATCGTAAAAATGATTGAATGCATAGTTTGCCTCTACAATGACCTGTCAGATCGGTGTTTCTATCCTCCCAGACACGTATGGGCTGCAATTCGGACTTTAAAGAGGGAAAGGGCTTAATGTACCCCTGGGAGCGAAGTCGAATCAGCAACCACATATATGCTGTAAAAGACCTTTAACTACTCGCCCACTTCAAAGCATACCCTCTGGAAAACAGGTAAAAAAAGCACGGTTCATTTCTAAGGAATGCAAAATTTTTGGTCCTTCCGAGCAAACCGTGAAAAAAAATGGAGAATAAAATACAGAAGATATAGACTTAATGGAAATGGACGGAGAATCTCAGAAATGGGAGAGATGTACAGAATTCGGTATGTTTGTTAACTCGGGTACAACCTGCACGGTGCTATACGAAAAAGCGGAAAACGTTCAGTGTGTTCCACACCCTCGTCCACAAGACATCGCCGTCGCACTCGACGAACGGAAGAAGACCATAATGGAATTGTAAAATCATTTATGAGATTTCTACACGAGTAAATTGCAGCAATCCAAAGGCGTTTAATCTTAGAACCAAATCCATTTCCTGATCACGAAATTCCGACCGAAACACCAGAATAAACCTGCTGGCCGCTGCTGGTCTACGGTGACGGTAGACAACGGACTGTATGTTTATGGAGAGTTTGAAGCTTAAACTCAACCGATTTTGAAATTATTACTAGCACTATGTGAATTTTCTGGATGAACTGCCTATGAAAACGTTAACAGGAAACTGTTACCATTTGTTAAATACAAGTGTTGATGCACAGCTTTATGTACTACTCAACATAGTGAAGAACAAAGCAGAGAGAAACATTACCAGAAATTTAACGCTTGCAATAACTTGATTAGGACCAAGGACAGAAACTTAAAAAGTCTCAAGGACCATGTGCTGTGCTCCTTTCGTATTTCTCGTAAGAAGACCTTTTGTGCAAGAGTAACTTTTTTGCAACCGACCGAAAAATTAAAATTAGTTGGACAAACTTTGGAAACAATCGTTAACTTCAATAATGAAAGTTTCTAAAAAAAAGTTACTTACGATATGGTAATGAGTTTTTGAGGCAATTTGAGGAAAGGAAGGAAAAGAGGAAGTTGAGGCAATTTCTCTATTCGGAAAATTGGAAAAGCCATAGCACTATCAACGACTGTTCCTTCGGCCCCGTTTCCTTTAGTTCTACTTGATTTCCTATCTACCCTAATAATGGACCTCTTCAAATCAAGAAATATCGTATGGTCTTCGACTTTTTTCGTAGAAAATGTCTCCGTGTTACTTGGTACTCTCTGAGTACTGCACTATTTTCCTTGCAGTAGGAGCACAACGCGCATCAAAAGATAATGAAACTTGGCAAATAAATCACGGACTGGTCATAATTGCCGCCAAGGAGGTTGATCAGATAAGGATCAATCTCACACATGCAGGAACACTCTTCACTAACACATCAGTCTTCCACGATGGCTCTTTGGTCTAAAGAATTCCTCAAACATAGGCTGAGCGGGTAGTGCTGATTCACAAGAGCTGCTGCATCCAATAGGCAAGGAAGCGCCATAATAGATGCCTTTGCCGATTTCGAGTTGATCCCTTGGGGAATGTGGCCGTAGCGGCACCAGCCGTCTCTAATTCCCAGCTGTCTCTAGGTTCATGCGCACAAAGAAATAAGCAAGTGAAGCCTTGCCTATGAAGACAAAAACAAACGCTGGAATCGGCATGATAAGTGCTTTATTGCAGGGCTGAGGACCCGGCCGTGCAAGTGACCGTAGATAAGCACGAAAGCGACTGCTTTTAAGGTGCTTGTAAACCAGCGACAGTGGCTGCTTCAGCCTAGAGCTAACAGAGTGGCTTTGGTCCCGTAAGAGGCTCTGAAGCCTCTTGAACCTCTAAAGAGCAATGCATTTGAATGACAATACCAATGATTATGATGCGTCAACGCGAATTACTTCAATAATTTGCTTGCAGAGTTCGCGCACTACACTTGAGTAGTTGGGGAGCGAGGGAAGACGTTCGCCCACCACACGATGCGTGGAAGCGCTAGGTTCAGCTGGCTCACACTGAGCATTTAGTATCTACTCTCCCCCTAAAAAAGCTATGATTCTAGAAATCCAAATGATCCCAGGGCATTTCGGTCAAAATCGTTTAAACTCAAGCAAATTGTATCACTTTTAAATTTTCACAAAACAACACCTTATTTTAAAGAATTAGAAGGCTGAACATACAAAAAGCAAGACAAGCATGAACACGATTTCTAGCATTTTCTGACAGAAAATAAATGTCCGTACCGATGATGAAAGAAGTTCTTCCATGGGTGGAGGGAAAAGCAGAAATACATTGAATTTCCTTTGAAAACTATTTTTCTATATTCTTTTTATATGTGTAACTTTATATATTTTATGTAGATATATTTATATTTTTATATTTCTATATATATAACTTTCACTATTCTCAGACTTTCACTACCCGGCAAAGATGATAGCTAAACTCCCAATTTTATCGTACCGCCTTCTTTCATTACATAGAGAGCCGATCGAAGTGCGAACGTTTTGGCGGCTATCTTCGCAGCCGTAAAAGTGAAGCAAAGTCGCTTTGACGACGAAAAGATTAACTCCTTTGGTAAAGGCAATGCCAATTCGAAAACAAGCTAACTTGGTGTCAAAGTTGGTCAGAAAAAAAATTGTAAGCCCAATGGTGACTTTGTCAAACTTACAAAGCAAGGGAATTCCTGATGACTATGACGAAATAGAACGATATGAATAACGGTGGCTCCATAGAGGAGGCAGTGGTCCAGCCTGCGAAGCCCTCTACAAGATGGGGAAGGTCGGGGCGGTGCCAAGAGTGTGTCCCGGTGACGACCAATTGCTGCGCAGCGAGCCTTGAATGGTTTGCGAGACTTAGGCCAGTGATGGATGAGAGGCCTGCGAGGGATTAGACGAGTAGAGGAAACTCTTCAGTGTTTCATATACTATACAATCGCCGATATTTAAGTCTTCTTCAGCACCCCGCCAGCTCCAACTTGGAGAAACGAAAACACCTTAGAGTACGATCCAGAGAATTCCACGCTCCAAAACAGGCATCTTTGTACTGCTTTCTAGAATGCTTTTGCTAGTTCATTATAGATAAAGATATGAGCTTCGTTAATACAAACGCGGCAAGAAAGCCAAGTGCAGGAATCGCTGATATTCTGAAGGGAACCTATTTTCTGGGTAATAAACCGTTCTCCGATCCCCAAGGGGTGACCACTGGCCTCATAACGACTTGGAAATGCGCCAGTATGTTCTCGCCCCCACAGAAAAAATGATATTGACCGACTTACGGAATACACGATAAATGTAAAATGTGTTAGATGCAGTCCAAATAGTCTCAAAAGCGTTTAAGTGGATTTCACACCAGCTGCATTCTAGCACTAGCATTTTATACTTTCAATGGAGATTTTAGTTTATAAAAATTTTCTGGACGTTCATCATCTGAAAGGAAATCTAACTGTAAATATTTGCAATGATAAGCACTGTTTCTGCTGAAAATACTGTCAGATAATGCATGTGAAAGGTAAAAGGAAAAGTAGCCGAGTGCACGACGTTGACCAACTCTTTACAGATGCGCTGTTCACTCGACTGCGTTTCTAGAATCCTAGAGGCGATCGAATGCACATTTGTGCTAGGAAATGGCTTTGCTGTGGTGTACTGATGCACGAAGTCACTGTCTTATCCACTAGACAAGTTTGTTACCAAACAGGCGACGTTTGAGGGATGGAAGCGTTACGTGGGACCGAACAGACAATCTTCTTTATATCCTAAACCCGGTAAGGATATCGTTTACATGTTCTTTCACATAAAATTGCACAAATAGTCGTCTTAAACACGTTTTTGGAAAGAAATTTGGTTGCCGCCTGTAAGCTAAAGCAAGGGCACTTCAAGGAAAGCCAAGAATGCTGCAGAAATGTCTCCAAACCTGAACAAAGCAAGGGCCTCAATCCAAAAACAAATACGCTGTGAACCTTTATGAGACAATTTTGTCAATTTTGTATTAATACCTCACGTCACTTGTTTATTCATTCACTTTTAGGCCAGGGCGCTCTATAACTGACAAAGAGTGTGTTGTTTAAAATAAACCACATGAGAAACAAATACAAACCTCAAAGGTTTCCAGGCTGAGTTCAACAAATCGTTCTAAAAACAGGCAAAGAGTAAACCTGTTCTGGGAATCTTCGATAATAGGGATAACTATTTCCAAGGCAGCAAACCTTTCTATACAATCAACAAAGGGCAGCGGTTGCCAGTGGTAGCAACCTAGTTACGTGATAACATGCCTATTTACGGAAGCCTATGAAGATCCACATGATCCTTCACGAATAAAGGATATTGAAATTGAAGATAATTGACGCTACGAATAGTTCTGCTCATTTTTTGCCACATCGCTCAGTGGAAGGAATTTTTTTTATAGCACAGCAGTAACATCAATTTTACCCCCACGAATCTGATATTTTGAGTTGTCTTGGTTCTGGCATTTTCGAAACACACCCACCTATTGTCGAGCTGAGTCCAAGGCTGAGAGTTCGGCGGCTGGGAGAGGCATGGAACTCCCGAGTAGCAGGGCGCTATGGCGATTGGACGAGACGTGAACGGACAGTCCTTTCCGTCAACGCATTCAACCTAATACACATTAAGTGTGGGAAGAACTTGGTGTGTTAACAGCGAGAATGCAGTAGTATTGAAGTGTAATAACAAATGCTTAGCTGCAGTACCTGCACATTTACAGTAATTGGCCTTAACATCTCCCAAGCCTTTCTTGAATCGGTGCGACTCCAAAATTCCTAACAGTAAGTGAATCATGCCACAATTTCTTTTAAAAGCCCATCGAATTACTCGAAACCCAAAAAACTTGTTAAGCTCTTAGGCAATTTGATAGAGTTCAGATCGGAATTTTCCAACGTATTCTTCACTCCGATTGCAACAGGAAGCGCAGACACAAATGTGCCTTTTGTGGAAAAAACACTTGAAGAGGCATTTCTTTGGAAAGAGAGAGAGCATTTTAATACAGTTTATAACGCTGTCAGATTGCTAATCTAATAATGTTTAGTGGTAAAGAAACTCCACTTCTAAGCCAAAGGAAATTAAATGAGTTCACGAAGACCGATTATGATTCAGTTATTAGTAGATTTGAAAAAGAAATATAGCATTTTTTGACTGCCAGTGTGACCTTTGCTGTGCAGAATTTTATAATTCGAAGTTCGAATTCCTTACCGTCCTTCGCCTCGCTCCTTGGCCGCAAGTGGCCGAGCACTTGGTCCACTGGCCGGTCACCCAATGACCACACGAATTGTTCGCGCAGAGCTCTTCTGACTTCTGGAATCACCGCGTTTCTACTAGCTTAATCGCTAATGGCAGTCTCTTAACGATTCTTCTGTGATGTGAAAGCATAAACATACGTTACCAATTCCTAAAATACCGCAAGCGGTACTGTTTTCATCCTTGTTCTGATAAGCGATAAGCCGTTAGAGACAAACCCACACATACATGCTTTTGTTCCCAATCATGTGGAACATAAAGTTTTTTACACCCTACCTATGCATAGATTATACCATATACATACTCTGGCGTGAAAAATTATAATAGGCAGCAAATAAAAAGTTAGCACCGTGATTTCAATTACAGCTTCAGCTTAACTGGGTTCAATGACGATTTGGGCCCCCAGATCAGTCCCGTTGACGGGTGATTGCTGACGGCAATGATCGATAGAACTAGCTAAGAGACAAGCGAAGCGGAGGACCCGCACGATGTGGTGGTGAACACGTTAGCCCCTGGAAAAGGTAATAGCGCGTTCGTTTCCCACTGTAGACACCTACGGTCCGGAGTTTTGCAAATATCTCAGCATCATTGTGGTTGTAAAGCTTTTTCTTTTCTAGTGACTTGAAGAAATCATTTATTAGAAAGTTAACGTTCTATGTATTCTTTCTAATAGCTAACTACCTCGTATAATATTTTTGAATATGTTAATTTGAGAGTAGAAAAGACAAACGCGCGACTTTTTAAAAGCCATAACCCTAAGCCAAAAAAGTCACCAGTAGAGCAGAAGAAGCTTTAGGACTATGTAGTACGAAAAGTAGACTATTACAGAAAAAATACGTGATTTTGAAGAGGCGTAGTGAGCTTTCGTTGGAACTTCTCCGAAAATAATTAGATAGCTGTCTCCCTAAACTGTGGGACCTTTCGTGACGACAAAAATAATGTGGACGCAGGAACGGTTCCAATTTATTCTCTACAGAGCAGCTTTATCTACTTACTCTGCATTCTTTGCAGATAAATATCAGACGTATGTGATCAGTTCTAAGGCTATGACTGTCTTCCATGGGATTGCCTCCCTATTAGTTGTCACCATTAATGTGTGTTTTGTCATCCATCATCACCCAATCATAAACGAGTTGCATCGTGCAGAAAACATTCACAGCCATGGAGTTTTAAAAGGTGGTCGTCAGAAGACCAGGAATAATAATTTTAAGATAAAATCAAATGCTGTGAAGTGGGAAAAATTCCTTTCCATCAATTTATCCCATAATTTGCTTTACATGGGCCTAAGTCACTCTATTTCCAGCGATTAGAGGACTTGGTGGAAGTGATGATAAAGAATCGGAAAAGAGCTCACCGGTTTCGTCTGATTCGTGCAGTACTTCTCCGGCACGTTGAGGGTCTGGTTCACAGTGTGGTGCACGCAGTAGACACTTCTTGTTCGTCGTCCACGACCGCATGTCGGCACACATTCCGACCAATCAGATGCCAGCCAACCGGAATAAAAGCCAATCAAAGAACCGGCCACTAAGCACTCGATAATCTACTCAGCAAGAACTGATAAGGACACAGGATAACTGAACAAAATAAGAGGTTGTTCACAAAAAAGTAGTCTCAGCATCCCATCGTGGGCACTCCATGCATTTTACCTCATCACAGACAGCAAACCTACCGGCATCTGCAAATTAAAATCACACAAATCGGATAAGAACTGCTGGTTCGATCCATACAAAATATGCTAGGGTTTTTCTTCGCGGGATTTCATAAAACTAAAGCGATTGGAAGGTTTTTCTTTGTTTTCCAATGTTGTGAATAACTAGATGGATTTATAACTTCTCTAACTTACAAAGGATTCTTAAGCACCACATCATGCGAACTCTTCTCTTTCACTTGGATATCTTCACAGTGCAAAACAGAGGAATAAAGATCCTTTTTTCAAATGGACTATGAGATTCCTTTGAACGGTTTTGGTCTACGAGTGGTTCGGTTTCAAGAACTTTCTTTGAGGGTTCTGTTCTCTTGACATTGTGCTAAAACTTCTGTATTAGATTATAATAAGAATACAACAAACACATGGACGCTACGATTCAACCCTTTCCGATAAAAGCACGATGAATTTCCTCGCATTTCATCAGATGGTTCGATCTGATAGAAAGTGGTTTATTGATAATCCGTGAGTTTTTCGCCTGAAAAGCCAGCAGACGACCGCAAAAGTGCAGTGAGGCGTGACGAAAAAAGTGAAGTTTCAAATTCAGTGGTTGCTTCACTCGTCAACTCCCACGAAGAACAAAATAGATGGCTATAAACAGACAATTGCCCACTCGGCCAGCTGTTAAGGATCTCTTCTTCGCACAATTCTCATTCCGTTTGTTCGCTCATTCTCTTCGGCTCCATCATTTCCGTTATCCAATTTCCAGTTTTTGTTCATCTGATGTTCGAAAACTTCCCATTTCTTCGCTTCAAGACACTCTTTGACCATAAAATAATCAAATTCTTAACATACATCACTCCAGGAAAAAGACAATGTTGAAACCGATACTGGAAGAGGCAATTTTTAGGTACGATAAGCCTGTAGTTCGAACTCAGAGGAAAAAAGATCCTTGTAAGAATTATTTAACATCCATTGGGGGTTCTATATCTTCTAGTGTTGCTCTTAAGCCTAACTTCTGGCCTCTGAGGTACTATCTGTGAATAGCGTTGACTTCAGTAACCCAGGAACACGTCTATTTTCTTGTATCTGACAGCTGTTTTACGAAACTCGCGATAAACACTCAAACCGGCCGGTCAGGGCACGGAATCCCTAGACAATGCTCGCTTTATTAATTGCAGGCTGCCGATCGCCCTACATCAACGAGCGGCGCATGGGAGAGTGGTGGTCTTCAGCCGATCACAGCTATTTAAGGGACAAATGCCTGCAACCCTGTATCAGAGATGTTTACTTCTACCAACGCGAGACTTTTAGTTAAACCAGATGTTGCTAATGTCCAAGTTTGTCTAAGTACACTTGCATATTGCCTGACAACTGCAACTGATGGGATTCGTTGAGAAGAATGGAAAAGGGCGGCTCTAACTGCTTCAAGTCAGAAGGCAAAACAATAGAGACTTGTCAGGCAGATTCAAGTTTCTAATTTTATGAGCTTATTGTCTATTCCTTGACTTTGATGCTTCCCACGAAATCCCCGCAAGCTTCGAAATAAATAGCCCGGAACATTCTTGTGAGCAGTGCTACTAATTAAGTGTGACTATGTACCTTAATAGAATGTCTACCTGGTGAAAGAAAATACATGAATACACAGAGAAAACTTCGAATACGTCGACATCATTCGAGGTGAAGAAAAGTCCGGCAAACTGTGATTCTGTGTTGACAACAAATCTATGTTCCTCTAATTTTCACGCATTACACAAATTTATACGGAGCACATAGATCATTGGTTAGTAGGCTAAGTATGCATTCAATGAGCCCTGCAGCACTACGAACGGAGTCGAATGCATGATGCATCCCTAAGGGTTAGATCAATGTCGAGCGCTTCAACGCTTGAGTTCATGCACTAGAACGAAGAAAATACTTGAATATTTATGTTCGTCATTTCCGAGATTGTTGTTGTGACTGAGAGAAGAAGGCAGAGTATCAACAGGCGATTCCATCGAGCTCACCTAGAGCCGCACCCGTAAATCATTCTATAGAGGAAATTTGCTAGAATCAGCTTACTCAATACGGCTATCGGCTCTGGTCATAGAATAAAGACAGAACGGTTGTAGAAGAACTAGGTGCTATCCCGGTTATGGTGATGATTATCTTATTCATATTTTTACTGCTCTCCATGATCGTTATGTGTGCAGCTATCTTTTCTAACGCGAATGATTCGGCGAAAGTTTCAAATGCGATGTTCGAACAAGGTGCCTTCGCACGCAACTGAAATCGATGCAAGCGGCACCTTTTCGCTTCCACTTCAACTTCTAAGCTTTCGAAGAACAGTCCATTCTTCACAGTCTCGAAACCCAGCCAACGAGACTGCTTCACATCTGCCACTGTTTCAACTTGAAGCATTATGAATAATTTTACTGCTTCGAACTTTTGCGTCAAATTTTGTGCTGACCGATTATGGACAATTCGTGGTTTGAAATTTAATGCTGGTCCTAGAAGCAATTAAGCAAAGATATACATTTTCTCATTTTCAAATGGCTTTTTATTGCTTACAAGGCGTTAGGATGATGTAGAAAGGTTGGTGGCGACGTATGGTTGGTCAAGGGATATACATATTCAAGCAATTTTCTTGTGAGAACTCAAGCCGCGTCTTCCTATGATGAACGCTTTTCCGAAAGACGAGAGTATTACACTAGTAGTTTTAATTACTACCTTATAAAAAGCGTTGCAGACAGCAAAATCCCAACTATATGACCCTTCCTCAAGACGGCGAAATCTAATCTAACTGATTTCACCCGCCCAAATGAACGAGTAAGAACAACTAGCCGAAATTTTCAGCTGAATTATTGAATGGGGTCGAGGGAATTCGCGACGATTTAATCTCCGCTAGAAAGTGAACGTATTTATCATTCGGGTTCGCTAATCCACGAGAACCGTGTCTCTTCAACCATAAAGATGGCGGCAAAGGAAATCTGACAAGCTCGTATTGAAAACCCACACGATCGCTTTCGAGACATTATTCCGGCATGCACTACACCATCTTCATTCTGGAGAGCGCAAAGCCGTCAACAGATGATTACAGGGTCGTATAATCAGCAATGAAGACGTATAATAGTTGCACATTTCAACTGGAAATTTGACACAACTAAAGATGTACTTTAGGCGACTAGATGACGATTGTGGAGAAGTGTTCGGAGACGCCCTGCAACACACACGTGGAATCGGTCCCCACGCCCATAGCCCATCAAACCTTCCATTCGTCCGCGGTCGGCAAATCGGTAACAGACTCATCTGTGAGGATAGCTGCACCGGCTCGATACTCGGTAGGCCACCACAAGCCATTGTAAAGGCCAGATAAGTATTAAATCACCACCAAACGATCCTTAATGAAGTAGAACGCACGGCGCATCCCTCAGGGATTGATCGATGCCGAGAGCTTCATTCTTTTTATCTCTTAGTTGACGATTCAAGCAATAGCTACACTACCCAATGCCGACTTACGCAAAAGAGAACTTTCACAAAACAAAAGTAGCTTAATGTTACAGCACCAACCAAGTAGAACATAAGACAGAATTCAAAAGTTCTGCAGTGCTGCCTAAACTCTTAGGGTTTTTCGACAGTATTTGGAATTGAATAGTTTGCTTCAAGCACTTAAAGGAAAAAATGAAGGACATAAGGGAATTGAAACTGTACAGAATATTGAAGTTCAAAATGAAATGCTCAGACACGTCTAAATATTAAGAAATCAAATGTCTAAAAGTCGAATTTCGAGTTTCTACTACGTAGTGCAAAGTACTGACGGCGTTCATCGATAGGAGCCTCCGCAAAGGGTAATAGCACGTTCGTTCTCACTGCTGACACCTGCGGTCCCGAGCTTGGCAGATATCTCAGCATCATTGTGGTCGCATTTCGCATAATACCCTGCCGTGAAAAATCGTGGTAGGGACGAAATAAAAAGTAAACACTGTATATCCATAGTGCATCGAGAGCTCTGCGCGCCTGACTCCCGCTAATTTTCATAGAGTGCTACTCTCAACGCTCGATGTCTTTGAATTCTGAGACACACCTACAGCAAAATTCTCCGAGTTTTAAACCAGAATGCTCACCTGCTTGGACAGATGAGCGGTGGGCAAGGCTTCGTTCTGACAGCAGGACGTTTTCGGTCGGCACAAAGCCTCTCCGGAACAACTCGTCCGGTAATTGCATTCACACAGACGACAATCGAGCGTGATTCGCGGTCGTCTCCTTCACGGCCGGCATGAAATCCTCTCGCCGCCTCCGTACACGTGCTGCTACAGTTAGTGAACTCTCCTGAAAAGGATAGTATCAGCGCTCATACGCCACACGAAACTCTATGAATCCTCAAAGAATCAACGTCTATATTGGAAAATATGCTTTAAACTACGGTTAGATGGACAGTTTACTCGAAGAATGTTGCTTCTGAAGAAGAAGAAAATGTATCTCTGCGTTATGTTGATGGAAAAGCAAACACTGCCACCAGTAGCAGATCACTCATTGTCATCAGTACTTGTTTTCAGTGGACCTGTATAGTGCAGACTTGCTCTACAAATAGTGTTCCATTTTCCTTACTCGTTTATAAGATTTGTTGGTTCGATCCTTAGCATCGCAGCAACAGAACTATCCACTCTTCCCGTGTCAGCACGTTGCCATCATACTTGTCTGAGAAGATAGCGGCATTAACTTTATTCACTGGCGAACCGCCGAAAGTCATTCTATAGTTTAATTATGTGCTCAATTCTCTCTACGATGCCACGAATGGAGCTGAGCTGGATGCAGGGGGATCTCTGGACGATTGACCTGCACCGAACGCTTTCTCGTTATCCTTTTATTACATGAATTTTCATTCGATGAAGCAATCCTGCAGTACTAATGGGGAGCAGCCTGAAGTTGAAACTCGGCACATTTCGATGAAGTCCTTCTGTTCACTGAGTTACAATTCAATTATGAATCAGAGCGAGTAGTAGAAGTTAACGACAAAGGCTTTTACAATTCACTGGCAACAAGTCAGAGATTGCTTATCTTGTCTTTTCTTCTAAAACAATCAATTTGTAAAAGTTTAAGCACAAAAAAAGGATGCTAAATTCAGTAAACGAAAGTGATATGGATCGACCACATTGAGTACCAGCTTATTTTCGTAATAGATAATCACTTCAAAATAGGTTCCGCGTCATGTTGTGTAACCCTCAGACGAGGGACAAATATGGTCCTCTCCGCGGTCATAATCGATTTGCGGTTCATACGCCCTTCTAGCTCATCCTTCTTCCCTCATTGATGACTTTTCGAAAACTTCGTCAACATATAGAGGGATATGCAGAGGAGAAAAAATTGCGATTCAAACTACGAAGGTGGGGATCGTCAACGGTCCACGTGGGCCATCACAGCAGGAGAGTGAGAGGGTTCTGGGATTTTCGCCTCGACACTTGCTAGAGACGGCTACTGACCTAGTGCTATAAAGTCTGTGCACCCACTAACCATAACCTCAACAATGATTAAAAACCAGTTCTCCTTTAGGGAACGAATCTATCACTAGTTGACCAAAGCCTTTGTCATCTTGGGTAACCTGTTCGTCTTTACTTGATTAGGAAGAATGGTGAGTGAGAAATTAAAAAAGAAAGAAAAATAAAAAGGTGTTCCTGGTAACTTCATTGTAAAAGAGTGTTGCCATTGCTTTCAAATTTTTGGATCCTATTTCATTTCATTTTCAATCTTTTCGTTTCCCTTTCTCACCCCATCGAATTTTTATACATCGTTCATGGAACAGTTGTCGTTCCACCGTAATGATTCCGATTTAAACAATTCGTGCAAATCAGTTTTTTCTTCTAATTGGTATTGTTAGGTTTGCCTGAATAAGCTGACGAAGAAGTTTATGTCTGTGAACATCAACGCATACGTCTATTGAACCATCATTAGACATTTTTTGTAAGTTACTATAGCTCATTATCAGATTAGTTCATAGTGGGAAAAGTTCACACTGCGGTTAGAAAAAAGCACATTCTTTGAAGTCTAGTACAGTTACTGGTTTAGAAATTCAATCTGTAGCATGATCATCGGTATACATCTTCACCTGCATCACCTGTCACCTGTAGTCCCGTTGATCGTCGAGTGACTTGAGCGGGCGCCAGTAAACCTTCCATTTTTCCCTGTCGCGTGCAAGAGTAGCCCACTGGGTTCTGCTCGCTCTAGGGAATCGTCGAGCCTCATATCTTTCTTCTAAGCTCTTCGTGAAGAACTCTAACCATCGGGTAGGTAGTCTTACTGCAGCACGTTTCATATCTCGAGGAATCCAGTCACTAACAGCTCTTGTCCATCGGTTGTCATTTATACGCATTACGTGTCCGACCCACCTTATCTTCGGCTCTTTGGCGTGCAGAACGGCATCTTCGATTTTTGATCATTGACGCAGGTCGGGAGCTTCGAATCCCATCCCTTACTTGTGTGGAACAGGATACTCGTGGTCCTTTCGACTGCGCGTTCGATAACGCTGAGTGATCTTTCATCCTGCTTACGCAGCGAGCAAGTTTCTGATGCATGCGTTAGGGCGAGAAGTACCGTTGAATCGAAAAGGTAAGCATGGAGTCGGGTGTTCTTTGTTATCGTCACTACATCCTCGATGCTCTTGAAAGTTCCCCAAGCTGCTCGTTTCCTTCTGCTCAGCTCTAGAGCTAGGTCGTTTATCATATTCATTTCTCGACCTAGATAGATATAACTAGAGCATTCGGAGATATTCGTTCCGTTGAGCGTGAATGGGTCATACGAGACGAGTACGTTCTTCATGAACACCGTTTTTTTGAGATTTATTCGAAGACCAATTTTTCCACAGGCTTTATCAAAGTCGGCAAACATACGTTCCGCTTAGCTGATGTTTGATGTTATAAGGACGATGTCATCAGCAAAGCGAAGATGATGTAACTGCCGAGCATCGATTTTCACTCCCATATTATCCCATTCCAATGTTCGCATGACTTTCTGGAGGATGGCCGTAAATAATTTTGGCGAGATGGTATCGCCTTGCCTAACTCCTCTTTTAACGTCAATGTTAATATCGTTGTAGAATGGTGATATCTTGGTTGTGAAGTTTTTGTACATCTGATGCAGAATCGTTGTGTACTGAGTAGGGACTCCCTGACTATCAAGGGCTCCCATGACTTCTTCTATCTGTTCTGATCTTATCCTGTCCGGACTTGGTGCTGTCCGATTTTTCACCGACGAAATGGCATGTCGGATTTCGGAAGGGTGAACCGGTGGTACAACGTATCCATCCTCTATTTCATATGACGGAAGCTGAACGTGGCTATCGAAGAGATTCGAGTAGTGTTCGTGAATGATTTTCTCCATTGCCTTTCTGGACGTTCTAACTGTACCTTCTGAGCGTCGGAGTGCACTCATCTTGGTCTTGCAATTGGCGAAGCTTCGGTGGGCTTTGCAAATGCTTTTCCCAGCCTCTGCGGTTTCGGCCATTACTGCTGCTCTTCTCGTGTTATCGACAACGGCATCTTCTCAACAGCCGACTAATTAATTGAATAAATCTCAGTTTACGGTGGTTCTGGGACTTCGGTTTTTGAATTTAGCGGCTTTTTCTCCTTTCCACGAGGAGTAGAATCTTGCGCGAAGGAGACGGTGGTCTGATCCCGTGTAGTATTTTGGAACAACAGCGACATAGGTTAGGCAAAACCTTGTGTTTACTATGATGTGGTCTGTTTCGTTTATAGTGCTCTCCATTGGGAGACTCCCACGTCCTGCATTGAGGGTGGGGCATCTGGAATTGCGACTTACCATGGATTGTCTTGGTCGCCATGATAAACTCAGATTTCCTCTCACCCTGTTCGTTCCATTATAATGCACGGGTCCCAATGTGACGTCCTTCAGACGTTCTTCTTGGTCCAGTCTTGGCACTGAAATCTCTAATGATGACTTTGAAGAATGTATGGTCTTCTGTATGGAACTTCTCCAAGTCCATGTAGAACGCTTCAACTTCTTCTTCGTCATTGTTTGATGTCGACACGTAAACGAGGAAGATTGTCAAAGCCGGTATTGATTCACATCTTCTTAATCGTAAACGTCCGATCTGGGTTGTAAGCTGTTCGAATGAATCGATGTTCATGGAAAAACTCGTGTTGACGAGAGCTCCGACAACGCCGACTCCTTTACTGTCGCATGTTCCGAGGAACAGTTCTTCTCCGGTGTCTCATAGATAGCGTTGAATGGGTGGCGTTGTCGTCTGGGCCAGGCCGATTACTTTGTACCTTGTCCTTCTTGCTTGCTTGAGCAAGTCTTGTATCGACGGCTCAGATGCAAGTGTACGTGCATTGTAGGTTCAGATCGTCATCATTGTTCTTTGTGATCTAGGCAGCTTCCATTGGCCCTGAGATTTTAGCAGCTTCTCCGTGCTCGCCCTACCCAACGGTGCGGAATTGGGGCTCTTTCGGGGTCAGGGGGATGAGGCCCGTTTTTTTTTTACTGTGTTTAGCATTTTGATACCCACGTATAGCTTGCTGGGCTCTAAACGTGGGAGCTGGGTATACTCACGGGTAGCTTGCCAAGCTCTCTCAGAGTGGACGTGGAGCTTATTTGTTGGAGGCGATTCCTAACCGCTTTCCACATACTTCGCTGTCACTTGATTCTGCTTTTGGCCGAATTGACTCGTAGAATACAATCCGCATAAGCGACAACGCATCCACATACGCATGCATGACTACGCACAGCAAATAGAGAATGTATGTGCCAAATCGGTACAGCAGAAACAGGGAGTCTATCTCCTGGATCCACCTGCGTCTCAAGGAAGCAAGGGTCGCTTTTGGTCCGCGATTAACTGCTACCGGCCACCTGCGGACGCTCCACGTAGTCTCGCGACAATCCGGCTCGAGATCCCTTATATGAGGGAGGTATGCATCTTACGAGCGGAGTAGGTAGCGCAATGATAATGATGCCATTCATTATGCGGCGGACCTAACCCACTGAAAACTGAGCTCGAGTCGGGAAATTGGTACCAGATCTATCTAGGACGAGTTAACTGCCTGTAGTCCATGTGGGAACGTTCTAGCACGGCTATCTCAGGATTCTAGGGAGAACCTAATCGACCAGTATTTAACGACATCAGACAAAGGCGAAAAAATTCGTCAAGTAACAACTGGATCCATACGCTTAAAGCTTCAAAAAGCTATGTGGCTGGTGGATACGACGAAAGAAAGCTAATGCATTAAATGCTGGGATCCCCTCAGTGTGGTACCTGTGATGTTGGGTTGCGTAATAAAAAGAATGTATACATATATCCGGATGTTTCTCGACATCACGTAGAACTCGTGCAACAATGAGGGTGAACAATGTCTTGACCTAGACTATGCCGTGGAAATTATAGTGAAACCTTTTCTCTTATAGATAGTTTTTAAAGATGCAAAAAAAGTCGTGGCGCCATTAGTTTCCATCAAAGTGTGATCAATATTTGCTGAATTAGCTTCGTAACGTCATTATGGTTTTGATTGGGATATGCTCATTCATTCGCAATCCCACCAACACAAGGCGACTAGGCGGAATCCTGTGTGTGTGGGAAGTTTTCGCGCGGAATTTTTCAACGGTTAAGCTTGTGTAAGCGACAAACTATTGTCCAGTTCCTACGAGTTCGAAGAAAGAGTAATACGCTTGATCGAACCTGGAAGTATCGTAGAACTTTCCGATCGGAACGATAGTTGATCGTGAATTGTGGCGTTCTTACCGTATCCTAAAAAATGCTAGGTAGCCTGAACTTTACTTGAGAACGCTTTCATTATCACTGGTTCAGCTTGTAGGGCATATCTTAGTAAGCTGCAGCTGGGATGTCTTCATATGTGGAAGGAATTCGGACAATTCCGAAGGAAGAATGTAGTTACTGAAGTTTCTTTTTCAGCCATAATAATCACATGCAATTTCTCTTGTTTTTCAAGACCAGTTTCTGCTGATTTCAAGGAAAATGCAAATGGATAGTAATGGCGACCCACGTATACACGTGACCTTGCAGTACGGTAACAACAAGGAAATCGTTACTCTGGAGAGGATCGACGAACCGCAGGTGATCATCAGCCACTTTTGCTGTCGTTGTTTTTTGTCCCATATGTGCAATAAATAACTTCACGTTCAACTAACGTAATCATTGCTCTCTAGTTCAATTTTTTCTACGGTTTGTATAGAAAAATTTTCGCAGGAAAGTTCTCTATAGTTTGTCGTTTAGTTGCATTCTGCTACACAACCTTGTACTACAACTAATAAATTATATCACTCTATCTCAAAATTCACAAGGGGCGCGTGTGGCGCACTGGTCGGAGGCGCCCTGCAATATAAAGTGGAGTCGATCCCTGCGCCCATGGCCCACCAAGCCTTCCATCCCTCCGGGGTCGGCACATTATTACCAGAGTTGTTTGGGAAGATTGCAGCACTGGCTCGATACATCGGTAAGCTTCCGCGGGTCATTTTAAAGACCAGGTATGCATTCATTCACCTCCAAACGATGCCTAACGAAGTCGAATGCATGGCGCATCCCTCAGGGATTGATCAAAGCCGAGAACTTTATCCTTTTTATCCTTTATTCATCCCATAATTAATAGTAGTGCATTAATTACAATGCGTAGTTTCTTCTTCACTTGATATTCCAGCACCTAATGAACGATAAAGAAATCCAGTAATATTATGCATATCCGCAAAGTGTTTATAAGTGCAACAATGCAATAGCGTGTACGAGTTATCTACAGTTCACACTGTCGTCATTGTCTCAAAATAGCTAAAGTGAACATAAAACTCAATTCCTTAGACCGACCTTCTATTAAACTCGGCAATAATCAATAATTTGCTGTTTTCTTGATAAGATCATGTTTGATAACGAAACGCTCCTCCTTGCGATTCAATTTTGGATTCTTGGCATTAATCCAGAATTCTACATGGGCTTTGTGCGATGAAGTTCTAGATTCCTGTGCGAGGATGGTCAATTCGGCTTTAAAATCTCCGTTATGTCTGTGTCCTGTGCGCGCCCAGTAGAGTATTTGGTTTGATTTTCAGCTTATCGACTAGATGTTCTTTTATACGGATGCCCAGTGGCGTTTCGTCAATGTATGCGTTCCCATACGCTTTACATAAGATCAGACAAACCGTGCCTGAACTAATACAACTCCATCTCTATCGTTATTACATAATATGCAAGTTTGCCTTGAGTATAGGCTGTCATATAGGCAGTTACGATCTAGCGTCTACTCTAGTGGGTGGTCTACCTACCTTTTTTTTGACTGGACCGTAGACCGGCGTCCAACTTGCGTTCGTGTAAAAGAACATCTAGTCGGAAATCCACTATGGGCACATAGGACATGGAGGTACAACGAGGATCTTGACGTAGAAGTCACCACCCTTCCACAGGAATCTAAAACTTCAATGGGCCAAACTGGAAGTATTCTGAATAAATTCCAAGAATCCAAAAACGAAACAAAAGGAGAAATGCTTCGTTATCACGCGTGATCTCACATAATACCTCCGACCGATATCTTGAAGTGAGTGAGGGAGGCGCAGTGCCCTTCCATATGAACTCTGTACGGTTAGTCTCTTCGTGGAATATTTAGCACAATTCCCAGAGAAAGTGGTTGAGTCCTTGAAGAAGCTTTTTTTTCAATGCGTTTGAAATCTAGGTTCCTTGACTTTTCTGTTGGGGTTATGGAGGTATTTGGCTGACTAGATTGCAGCCAAGTTGACCCTTCTAGGTCCTGAAGAAAGCAAAATGTGCCGAAACGTCAGCTTTTGCTAATAACATAGTAACAACCTCGTGTGTGCTTATTAAGAAGAGGACAAATTACTAAAACTCTTTTATTTCATAACGAAGTGACTATGCAGATCAGATGTATACCCTTGTAACCGTAAATTACTGGTCAGGTGTTCGAGTCACTACGGCGTCGTGCTCGGGCTTTGGTGGAGCGGACGAGTCCAGGAGAGAGTGAGTTGCATCTGTTCAGACACGATTACGACTCGCCCAGTGTGCTCCAACATATCGCATCCGTTTCTCAACTGGTATTCTTTTTTCACACTTTTTTTTCGAATGAAAAGAATTATAAAATTAGAAGAATTCACAATAATAGCAGACGTTGCTGAGGATTTCCGGAGCCGTAGTTGGTGAAAGTGTCTTCTCAGACGCTATTATGGGATCCTATCGCGTTGAAAGCGGGAAGATTTGTGGGATACGAGCATAAGTCTGATACAGGGTTGTACATGAACCTTCCATGGATAGGATTGTCAACCATGACCTTGGGGACTCTATTTGGAACCCACTTTTCGAGAGGGTGATGGGTAATCAGGAAATTGATCAATATTGGGGTCAAGGAAGATATTTTCGTTTCCTACGGCTTGAGTATCTACTACTATTTTTACTATACTACTGCATTTTCCCCTTCTTTTCAGAGCAACGGCTGCATCGTAGAGGTGATTGTTGTGGATCGGAATGAGAAGCCCACACGCCCACATGTGCTCGAGGTTACTGTTCTACCATGATCTTTCTGTAATGTAGAGGATCGCAAACGTTTCTGAAGAAGGGCACACACGAATGTTTAGGTGAAGAACTACATGACACTGACATTTTGTGATTTCTGTGGATCAATGCTCACTGGACTCATGCGTCAGGGACTGCACTGCCTTGCTTGCAAGTAAATTGATGTTTTTTCTTTTTGTTTGAAATTTGTCGAGTCCTGAGTATTACAATTAGCACTTTTTCTTCCAAATATCACCTGTATCACCTGTAGTCCCATTGACCGTTGAGTGACTCGAGCGGGCGCCAGTAAATCTTCCACTTTTCCCTGTCGCATGCGAGAGTAGCTCAGGTCGGTTCTGCTCGCTCTGCGAACTCGTCGAGTATCATATCTTTCTTCAAGGCTCTTTGTGAAGAACTCTGACCTTCGGGTCGGTGGTTTTTACGTTTGACATCCCGAGGAATCCAGTCACTAACGGCTCTTGTCCATCGGTTGTCATTTATACGCATTACGTGTCGGCCTAATCTTCGACGCTTTGGCGTGTAGAACGGCATCTTTGATTTTTGGTCGTTGACGCAGGTCGGAGCGTCTGACCCCTTCCCTTGCTTGCGTGACATGGGTTATTCCTAGCATCTTCCTTTGGACTGCATGTTGAATAGCGCTGAGTGGATTTTCCTCCTGTTTACGCTCTCGAGGATGGCGGTGAATAATTTTGGCGAGTTGGTATCGCGTTACCTAACCCCTGTTTTGACGTTGACCTTAATATCGTTGTCGAATGATATCTTGGTTGTGAAGTTTTTGTACATCTGATGCAGAATCGTTGTGTACTGAGTAGGGACTCCCTGACTATCAAGGGTTTCCATGACTTCTTCTATCTCAGCTGAATCAAAGGCCTTCTGTAAACCGATGAAAGTGAGACAGAGCGGTCTTTTGTACTCTCGCGATGCTTCAATGAGCCTTGTTACCGTGTGGTTGTGGTCCATCGTACTAAATCCTTTTTGAAACCCTGCGTCCTCACATGGCTGTCCTTCGTCCAGTGTTCTGTCAATTCTGTTTAAGACGACCCGAGTGAAAAGTTTGTAGACGACAAACAGCGAGCAGACATGAGTTGACCGCACAGTCGAGAAACGCACTGATTGGTCGACAAAGGAATAAATATTAACATGTGCTGCCAAAACTTAAAGAACAGCTTGTGTTTCCGGATTATACTCAATATCCTTCTTGTCAATTATGTTTTCTTGTGTTGCTCCGTCGTAGCGTACGTTCGAACAAGGTTTTTAAGAGAACAAATACTACGATTCTTCTTCTAATTCTTGAAACACTTCGTAATCCGAATGACGTGAACAGAAAGGAATTTCAAAAACTAAACGAATCGTTCCCATCTCGAAAATAGATTCCTACCATTAAGAATCATAATTTTCAACCATAATGAAGCTGAGATATTTGCAAAACTCAGACCCCATGCCAGATTCGAACCCGTGATTTACCGGTGCTTACGTGTTACCTACCGCACCACTGAGGCTTTTGCTTTGCCTTTCAGCCAGTTTTTTAACCTCACCCCCTTTTACCCTCTTAATCTTTAGTTTTCTTGGAAAGTTTTCAATTAGCCTGTTCGGAAAAGAGTCTGCTTTGGAATTTCGCCTTGAAAATGCATAATTCGATTTTAATTAAATCTTATTAGTCATGTTGAATCTTGTTAATGATAATGAAATGAATCCACATACTTTCGCCAATAAGTAGAAACATATAGTTCCAGCACAACAGTGAATTTCTCTGCTTCTGACGTATGCAGTTGCACCGAATGTATCTTCTGCAGCAGTTTGCTTATTGAAGGTTTACTCAACACGCATTTATCGAGATGCTTACAAAGATGGTAGAAATTCGATGGCAGCGGTCCAGTTAACGTCCTACCGTACAATATTTAACATTCTCTCTTCAGATGCAAAGTTCATAAAAATTTTCGCCTCTTTACGCCGGCAGCTTTATCCTCCTTATCCTTTATGATAGTGGGTGCGTGTAGCGCAGTGGTTAGAGGCGTCCTGCAATGCGCATGGTTTCGTTCTCTCGCCCCAGGCTCACCAAATCCTCCACCCTGCGGGTCGACAAATTGCTACCAGACCTGTCTGGGATGACAGCAGCACTGGTTCGATACATCGGTAGGCCAACGTGAGTCATCGAAGTGGTCAGATACGCATTCAATCACTTCCAGCGATGCTTACTGAAGTCAAATGCATGGCGCATAGCTCAAGGATTGATTAACGCCGAGAGCTTTGTCCTTTTTATCTCTTATGACATCAACAGAAATTGCTTGGATTTGCTTTCTTTATTTCATTTCTATTCGAACATCCTAAATCCCAAGAATCCGTGGATTCAAATAATAATGGAAATATTAGCAAAAAAATGCGTAATAAAATATGGTGGATTTTATCTTCACATAAATGTAAATTCTGTGAGAAGAGAACTGAAATTTTGTCAATCTGCACATACCCCAGATGCAACTTTCATCGTCGCTGTACAGAAGCTCCAAGGAATAACTGCTTAGCGGCGACACCGGGACAGTCGACCATGAGTTCCATGCCAATAGGTTCAGGCGGAGCAGCAGTGGGAATCTCTCAGCCATCATCAGCAGTACCTGGTAAGTTTGAGCTAGAGGTGCTCTAGGGCTGTTGACATCCACCAAGTCCTTAAATTATTTCTCACGCGATAAAAGTACTGAAACTAATAGAGCCACTTGCTAATAGTATGACGTAGTCATACTCGTGGCTTATCTTGAGAATATTGGAGGCATGCAGCTGTTTGTCAACAATACCTTTAAAAACTTTCTTAGATCTTGCAATACATTACATAAAGTAGTAGTAGCAAACGCGGTGTTGGTTTCTACTAGTCGGATCTAATGGTAGTAGTAAAAAAACAGAATTTCTTTAAGGTCCAGCGGGAGAAGAGGAGATAGTTTTAATCGTAAAGTCTAATGGACTTTGTTTAAGTGTCTTATCGGTGAAAAAGGTGGTGGACGTCGTTCTAAAACGTTTGTGACAGTATTTATGAAAAAAGGCAATAAATACAACAGGAAAGGAAATGATAGTGCTTTGCAGGTGTCTCGCTTGAACTGCCACATTCCTTGGCAGAAAACAACTACCTGACGCCTACGAAATGCAAAATCTGCGATAAAATGCTCAAAGGACTTATCCGACAGGGATTAAAGTGCCGAGATTGTGGAGTGGGTAAATCTTCATTATTGGATGTACCTTTATCTCCATTTCGGAAACTTACTTTTCTTCACCAATAAAAAATTTCAGGTAAACGTTCACAACAAGTGTGCTCATCAGCTTCCATCAAATTGCACCTTATCCGACCACGCAATCAGCAGAATGAGTATTACTGATGCTTCACAAGCAAATCTCGTCTCTATGGACGATGAGCCGAGTAGCAGCGAGAATATTCCTCTTTTCCGATTGCCAGGTACATATTTGAGTGACTACTGGTGCTGAGTTGAAGACACATGAAGTTCTGCGGAAATATGCAGAAACTCCTTTCGTGGCTTCTACGTTATAGGAATTACCTGGACAGAAATCATTTAGATCTAGACAGACGAATCTTGTATTACTAAGATACGGGCATTTTTGACAAAAAGATCTGACAACTATAGGCATAATCATACTTGTTAGGGCAAGCAATATCGAAGATTCAAGCACATCCAAAAGTCGAAGGATGGATGATCCATTTCTTGCTCTCGGATCCTGAGCGACGGCTCAAGCACTATTGGGTTCTTGCTAATGATGCCATTAATATGTACAACGAATACAACGAAGGTGAGGAAATATGTCATTTAGTCCAGGATATTTGAAAAGCTTAACAAAAATGGATTTCAGGTGTAAATCCGAAGAAACGTTATGTAACGCTTCCACTGGCCGAGATTCTTGCCATAACTCCGCACCACGGCCCTCCTGTGCACTCAAAGTTGGATTCTTCCTCTAACATTCTGTGTTTATAACATATACGTGAAACAGGTAGAATTCGTTGACAACTGGCCAAAGCTATGGGGTAGGGTACTCGACTACACTTTTCAACAAAGACGAGTACAATGTTATACATTTTTATTTTCTGCCTACTATAATTTCGCGACAGGGTACTAAGCGAAATACAACCACAATGTTGCTGAAATATTTACAAAACTCTGGACCGCAGGTGTCTATGGTGGGGAACGAACGCGCTATTGTCCTTTCCGGGGAGTAACGCGTTC